ACAATCTCCTTTCCTCGCCGATACAATCGTAAGCGTGATACGAGTTCGAAAAATCCTTAAACTCATCGCACGCTTCTCGACCGATACCTTCGCATCTATTTACGTATTTACAGGACTAGAGTCTTACTTAAAATCTCGGCTGCCTGCTCGAGGGCGGTCTCGAATCCGTGGGATGAACGAGAGAATCGATCGTAGCGTCGTCGAGCAAGCAGAAAATTATGAGCATAAACGCGTGTGTTATCTTAAGGACTACATTACCTTAAATGTACTACGCGATTAGTACCCACCGTTTCTCCTACAATAAGAGTTACTCATCCCAACGTAAATTCATCTGGTATTCCAGCTAGCACCATTCTATAATGGAGTACCATCAGGGTCGCCTCTTAACAGATATCGCTCAACTGACAATTGCCTCTTATAAGCTTTGCGCGTTCATTAAAACACGTTTCCTTAAATAATAATTCAAATCTTTTGGTACATGTAGTCGAATATTTACGCAATAGTAGTACAATATTTTTATCCTAATAATCTTTTAATAAAGTTTATTGAAAAAGTTTATTAATATATATGTACATATATATGCTCCTCCTCTATATTATTTTGAGAGACTTCTCTACATTTTATAACACAATCTTAATTGTGATCTTTAGTTCCATATAGATTTGTCAAGTTTAGGATTAACGATAAAAATGCGCGAATCGCGATATTCGCTGCAGGATAGCATTTTCTTTTTTTTCCTCTCGATATAATGAAGCTCGTATTTCCATTTGTCAGTTTATATTTTCCGCGAATATGTCCGGAGCGATACGTGTTAATTAGCGTCACAAAAACCCCATATCCAGTTTCGGTCAATTCCATCAAAAGCACTTAATCCGATTGCCGTGGACCAGCGTCGTGCTGAGGATCGTGTTACTCGTTAAAACCTGGGCTCTCGTCTTGCCTCTCATCGCGGAACGCCAACGGCGCGGGAAGAATTTCGCTTTTCGCCTTATTACCGAGATAATAAAGCGTTCCTGTTTGACATCGACGATCTTTTATACGAGGTCGTAACGCGTATTCTTCGTGCTCGATCCAATCGTGAGTTTTCGGGGAGAAAAGGTCGACATTTGAGAATGAAAGGATTGGGGCGGTATTTGCCAAAGTGCAAAATTCGATATTTGCCAAAGTGAAAAATTCAAAACTTCGACGACTTTAACGAGTTCGCGCTCTTATACTGAAATATTTCGATGGAACGATGTTTCGCGATTCATTGATTGTCGTGTTCGAATTCATGGATGTGGAGCAGGCGTGGTCTGTACATATTGCAGCTAACAGTAATGGAGGGTAGAATTTAACAAGTTCATTAAAAACGCATTATTATACAATTGTTAACTTTCTTTGAATAAAACGTACCAGTTTTAATATCTCAGCTGAAAACAACCTCAGATCTATTTCAGATCTACTTGATATACTGACTAACAAGTCAAGACTAAAGTGATATTTAATAAAAATTTTTAATCTCCAATTTATGGACCTTACTAATCCAGCTAGTACATCGTTCAAATTCAAACTACAAGTAGGTGCTTTATTTCTGCGTAAATAAAAAAAAAATAAAAGAATTATTTTCTAGTTTAACTGATTATATTTTCATAAAATTTACATTCAAAGATCATTAGCTAGTTTGTTTCAATATGTACAAGGATCACTGCTGTGGAATGTTAGATGTTTGAGACTTCCGCTCTCTTGCACCTCCATCACTTAGATTCCTGTCGTCCCCCGATCCCTCGTCGTTCTTTCTATCAAACTTTGATCTCGTAATTTACTCAAGTATCCCCGAGATCTTTCTCTCGCTGCCTCTTGCCACGATTTAGCAACACGAGTATCTTCTACGATTGTCAATGGTTACAGTCATTTTGCTAGTCCTGACTCTCAATCTATTCGGCGATACCTCGAGTAATCTTTCCCGGAGATGCCGATACTAATGCAGAATTATTAACTCTTCAGTCTCTAAACATTCGCCTCTCATTTCAGAAATTACGTAAGTTATTTATGATCGTAAAAGCAAGTACAAATTCTTCGGTGACATTTTGAACGTGATAAATGATCCTATATAAATTCAATGGTGATATTCAACCATGACAAATTCACGTTGTTTCTCAAATTAATATAAAATGACACAATTTCTCTAAAAATTATAATCTTGATCATATTTCAAAACTAAACGGACTTTAAAAAAATTGTTACAAAAGCCAATTAATTTAAAGCCTAATGCAGAGAAAAAAAGGCTGAATTATCGCGCTGAATTGCATGAGGAATCCTGTCGTACTACCTAAGCGCTGGTTAGGTGTTTTAATTTTGTCGATGAACCGGAGATAATTCGACCGGATTAAAAGTAAGAGTGTCAGTAAAAGTACTCGTGCGAATTGGACCGAACATCCCATCGGTCTGTCTAAACGAGCTTTGAACACCTGCTAACGTCAACCGTATGATCCGCACCAGTTTACCTACATATTTAGTTTACGTATTTACCTTACAACTGGATTAAAATGAGAATTTTCATCACTCTCACGATGTCGATATTTATGACCGACATCAAAAATTTGGTCGCGAGAGAAGGAGAGAAAAAGATCCAATACTATAAGAACTGGTCTTGGAAGTTGAATCAGCGAAAGGTTTAAGATGTCGTGAATACATAGTGCTTATCCTGATAAATGCGATTTAAGAGATACTTGCCCCAGTCAATATCACTATTCTTCAAAGTTCTATCTTACGTTGCTAATAAGAAATTTTGATAAACTGAACTTCCAGATTGCACGAGATAATGAAACAATGTGTAAACGTACATTTGTCCACTACTATTTCTTTTTACCCTAAAACTGCTGTGACAAATCTAATAATCTCCGCGAGATTGTTTCAGCGCTGGAGGGCTAAAGAGGAGTGAAATCGCAAGAGCAAGAGGAAAGAGGAGGAGGAGATGGGGACTTGGATTGATTTCGACCTCTCTCAACTTCGTTGGATCGTGTTTTAATGTCTCGAGGGGCTAAATCGCGTGCGAGGATACCTTAAGGACTACTTTTGGCCATAAACGCGCCCCGTTGCGACGAATATCTACCGGGGGATGTAAATGTTCGAGACGGCTGGAGCTTGGCGGTAGTGTAAATAGGAAGGCGTGTCGCTCGACGCGAGTCGAGAATAACCGAGACTTAATTAATGCGCTGATAGTGCGAAACCGTGCTGGGTGTCTCCCTCCCGGGTGTGTTGGCCCTTTCGATTTTCGCGGAGAAAGGGCGACGCCGCGCCAATTTTGGCGCACCGCTCGAGAATAGTCCTTAATGCGCAAAGAGGCAAATGATGTTCACATACGGTATTAATTTCGCAAATGTTCGCGCAAAATTAGGATCTTGCGATAGAAAGTTAGTTAAAAGATTGACGATTTGCAACTTCATATTTGTAACATCGAATAATTTCTCCAACATAAATTACTTTCAATTTAATTCCTATTAGAAAAATTATTCAATGTTCAAAGTAACAGCTATAACTCGTTTTCTTTTCATAGCATCGTAAAGTAAAAACGATGTTTAAAACATTCGATATTTGTGAATACCGAATACTCGCACATTTTAATTATAACTGCTGAAGAGAGAGCGCATCGATAGTAACGATGAAAGCTTGTAAATGTTATTAAAATTGTTCTATCGACTGTAAAAGCCTGGTGAATCAAAAATCGTGATTTGCGAAATAGTTTTTTCTGTTGCAGAATATGCAAGTTACGTTACATATAAAATAAAATGGCACGGTTTTAATTAAATAACGCACGGCATAGTACGAGCGTAATTTCATACGTTTTCTCGATGCAGACTTTATTTTGCTTTTCGAGCAAAATATGAATTCTTAAAAATTGGTTTATAGATATTTTTATCTACCTGATAGATTTCACTGTGCACACACACACACACACACACACACACACACACACACACACAAACAAACAAACAAACAAACACACATACACACACTGTGCGCATCACTGTGCTTGCACCATGATACACGTTAACGTGTAATTTTCGAAGGTTAAGACATGCGTGTCAAATAGCACCTCTGATCAGTAGCGCGCGCTGTGTACTTCTCTAGAATATCAATAATGCACAATAGCGCTTTAATAATATAGCAGGCATGAATCGAAGCGCGAATCGATCCACGACAACTTGAAAATGCAAAATTTTCCAACGTCGTTTTCTATTTCTCGAATCCCATTATCTCCAGCGTCGGAAAAATTTTCAGCGATCGTTATTTTTTTTCTTTTCAATTACGTAAATCTATGTGACATCATTTGCCGTCGAGCGTTAGGACTATGGAGACACACGGAGCACGGTTTCTGGTCGAGATAATCATCGGGCAATGTCTCCGTATAATAAGCGACGATGACAATCAAACTATCGGTTCGCGATAAGAGTGCCTCGTTAATCAAGCGGTAAAAAGTGATGGGATCCATCACGAGGTCCCTCGTTTCCTAACGTCGATGAGTAGTTCAACCCCCTCGGAAGAGGGGGAGGGGAGAACGAGAAGGGGGAGGGTGTTGCGTCGATTGCGATCTAAAACGGTCGGCGTAAAACGGAAAGTTTTTCGGTCGGTCGACATACAACGCGGTTGACGTTAACCGACGTTAACCAGCCATCAATCACTCTATCTCGCCTCCGTCGTTCGTTCGACCGTTTTACCTCCCCCCCTCCTCCTCCTCTCACCCCTCCCTCCCCGTGCATCGTGCGCATATGCGGAGACCGTGCCCGATCGAGGCGCGCGAGAAACACGATGAGATCAATTAACTCTCAGTTACCCGGATCCGATCGTTGGCGCGTGTAACGCGAGACGCGTCTTCAAACGTAAGCCGCGTCATCTCACGGACGAGCGAGTCGCTCCTAGATCGAGAGCGGCTGCTCGTCGCAACGGTGCACGAAGCCGTGCTGCGGTTGCTGTTGCTGCTGCTGCTGATGCTGCAGCAGCTGCTGCCGCTGTTGCTGCTGTCATCCGCTGCTCTGCTCGGGTAGCAGTATGCTGACGGATTTGCGGCTCGCCGTGGAGACGTGGCCGCCGTTCGTCGCGGCCAGGGCGGACGTCGGCGGTGGTGGCCGATGGGACGGCGCGACCACGCGCACCTCCGGCCTGGGTGAGGCCTCCCTCAGAGGGCTACCGACGCCCAGCTCCTCGGGATTCGTCGCCAGCACTGCCGACGGTCTGCAACGACCGCGAAAAGGCCATTCGTCTCGTGAGTGCGCGCTTTACGTTTGCCGGTGGGCCCGCGTTAAGCCCGTCAGTCCGTAAGACGGATAAATGTATCTCGTGCATTTTCAGACAGACCCGGTGACTCGAGCTTTTCTACTGCATTTATTCGCTTTTAAGATTTTTTAGTTCGTTGTAACACATACATGTGGGATATACATATATTGATTCGATTTATTAATTCTTTTTATAACTGCAAACTCAGTCAGTTTCAAAAGATAAAACGGTACAGCTATTGATTTTCTAACGCGATCTTACGGACTGGGGGTTAAACGATAGAAAATTCATGCGTTTTATTGACCAAGCTGCTACCTTTAGCATCAACGAACGTACAAATAAACTTGCCAATTTCGTATCAATTTATCGGACTTATTATTGCGGCTCAAATAAATCACTCACCGATTTTCACGTCACCGATTTCAATTTACGCTGAAATTAGAGACCGCCTCGTTTTCTCTCTTTTGCGGAGGCGCTTAATTTATTTCGCGAGACGTGTCGTTCGCTATCGGTATTTGTTTGACGCGTCGGAATCAAGTAAAATAAACGGAATTCACCTACCTGTGCTGCGGGGGCGGCGTGGGCGTTCGCGACAGGGGGAAGCTGGCGACTTCCCTCGTCACCGAGAGCGACCGGATCGATCCGAATGTCTGGTCCGGCGATAAATTGGCCCCGACGCTTTGCACCATGCCGCTACTGGAACATTGGACATCGGTTAATTGCCAATTAGGCTCTCTCCATGGAGTATGCACGCGGCCGACGGTGCACCTTTGTCTTAAGCCTTCAAGTTCTGTCCGAGTGTGTCTCCGACAGTGTGACTCAACGTCGGGCTTTGTTCTTACGTTTCGCGGAATACAAGTGAATCACTTGTCCGACGGGGTTCGGACCAACGGTAACGGACTAACAAGGGAAGTTCGGTGAACCGTAAAACTCAAACGGATTTTGAAACTTCGCGTTCGGATATAGATTTTAGGGGACGAAGCGAAGAGAGATAAGTCAATTCTCTTAAGTTTCTTCAATATCTTGGAAATCGTCCAAATTATCGCAGAAGAGTTAAATAAGCTTTTTATTATAGGTTTTTTGGATGGATATTTAAAACCGAGGGATTTCAAACATTCCTTTGAAAAAAATCATTTGTGATTTCAGTCTCGTTTTCAGCAATCTCAGCATCTAACATGAAAGAGAGAGAGAGAGAAAGCTTTCGTATGTGAAAATGAATTATGTAAAACCTCGAGAAAACTCTGACGTTGTCAAACGCCATAAAGATAAGTAGAGCGAGTAGGAAACTCTCGATACACTCAGCAATGCACGGTTTCAGTAACGCTGCAAGTTCGCTCGAATTATGCGTACGTCAGGCCACGATTAAATATGCCTAATGATCGCGAGATGACGCATCGAATCTATTCTTTTTCTAACTGCAGTTCTTAAGAACTTTACACTCCGCTGCCCCGAGCAAGGTTCTACCGTGTCATTATGAAGACGAAGTGATTAATGCTACACGCAAGACGTTATAATCGCCCTCCCATTCGTACACGCCAAAATACGCGTTATTAAGTCCAATTTCGATCACGCGTCTAAACGGTGGGGGAAAAAAAGATGTAAACACGCCTGAACTTACGAGGAGAACTGACTCTTCTTTATATTCTTCACGATTAGCCTCCTATCGTCGATGTAAAAAGGGAACCGGAGGATATTTCTTTTTTGTTTTATCGATACGAAGGAAATGCGGAACGCACGGATTCTGCGCTCTTCTGCGTACAAATGAGAAATTCTCCAGAGAGAGTGCGCGGAAAAATCCGCAGGCTGACGTATGAAAAATTCGTGCACGTATATTACGGCTTTCACACACTGTTTCACACACGGGAGAGTCCATCCCTCGCCCTCTTTCTGCCTCTCCCTGATCGTCCTCTTTCTGTCTCTCCCTCGTCGCGCCGTCGTTAATATTTGTCAAGTGACAAAAAGCCGGCTGAATTTGAGAGAGCGGAGCAGAGAGCTTAATCGATAACTTCGATAGGCTACACGGGGGACTATAGACACACCTACGCATTCAATTTGTCTCTACATGCGAGGCATCTGTGCCCTTCGCTGACGCGAAAAGAACGTCTCGTTCTTGTCCCACGTTCTACTAAAGAGTCCGCGCGCGACTATTTTAAGGATTAAAACGCGACCACGAGCGAAGCGACATAAGCGGTATTTCTTCATGGAATTTCTCGAAACGCGATTAAAACGCAAGATATGCGGAACGGTATACTATCCCGCTAAAAATATCGCGATAGAGAGAAATCGATACTCTAAAAAATGTCCCGTTCTTCCAGGAAGAAATATGTATCACTGACTATAAGAAAGTTGCTGACTAAGTCAAATCAAGTTTAACCGATCTGTTCTTTTTCTGTGGTTTCCGATTTGCAAAAATGTTCGCTTCTTTTTCGTTTCCCACATCGAATATTTTGATAATTAAATTCTAAAATTAAAACCCTAATAAATTAAATTCTATTTATATAGAATTAAATAGAGGATATTACTTTTTATCTCTTATGTATATCTCAATCGTGAAAAGCTATTTATAATCTATTACACCCTATTATTCATATAGCATAGAAACTACCGACATGTTTAAATGTTTTAGTAGAAAGTTTTTCAATCGATTAAATTTTTTTAATTGGTTTTAAATCGATTTAGGAATTTTTTATAATAAATGTATACACCAAGGTAAAGTATTCCGTATAAAAATATCAGCGTATAGTGCTGATTTGGCAAGACGAGTCTGCCTATATCCGTGATAGATACGTACAACGTGCCTTGCTTTCGTGCCGCGGGAATTCGCGAAACGATTATCGGACGACAGGACGGGAAATGGTTGATCAAAGTCGAGACGGTTATCGATATTGCAGCAGGGGGGCCCTGGGCGCTTTGAGAGATGCCATGAATTATTCATTCTAGACCCCGACCGGGCATGTCAGGATGTCGAAGTTATATCCGACAAACTCGCTATTCCGCTCACATCCGCTGAATTCGCGAACTTTTCGGAAGGCTCTCTGCGCGAAGAGGTAATCCGTGGGACGAAGGTCTCCTGGAAAAATCTCCGTCGATAACGAAAAAGTCAGTTTCGCAAATGGAAAAGTTTGACTGCCAGCAGGCGTGCAGATTTATATTTTTGTGTAAATTAAGATCCATTCGTTTATCCATTAATATGTGGACTGCACATGTAACGTTTTGAGAAACTGGAAGCGCACGGTTTTTGGGGAGGATATTTGGAAACTTGTTAGCGTAAACTGAATAGCGCAAGTTTTGCGCAAGTTGATAACTCTCAGCGAAACAGCTTCATTTATGCTTAAATGAACTCTGCAGTTAATGACGTCTCCTACATCGAAAGAGCTCTCTCTCTCTCCTCCTCCTTCTCCTCCTCTCTCTCTTTCTCCCTCGCCGGCTCTTATTGCATTTATCTAATATATTCGTTCCACAATTTATGAATCGACAGCAATACAGTGGACAAAAAAAATTATAGCGCATTTTTCTCACTGCTTTGCATCACTTTTATGGCTTAATCTTGAGCAGCCAGCATAGAATATTTTATTTGCGTAAAAAAAAGATGAAAGAGGAACTGAAAAACATCTTCTATATTACTATGATAATCTTATACTTTCTATATACAATATAACTAGAATATACTTGAAAGTTACTGCTTTATACTTTGTTCTTTGTGCATTTATATAAAAAATTTGCAAGTATAAAAACATAATATTAGTCTTGCGCAAAGTTTTCACAACAAGGCGATATTAAAAAGTTTCTGCTGAATTGCTTTCGCGATATAAATCATTATAGGCGAGAATCGTAATCGTTACAGCGAGTGCAAGAGATCACGATTAAAAGTTAATATACTCGCTAATACCTAAGAATAAGAGTAACTAAAAACAAATATAAAGAAAATGAAACGACACGTGATTTCTAGCAATTTATCGCAAAAACGAGCGGAGATTATTGGCTGAGAATAAACACGATATTACATATGAAAATAAAACGTAATGTGACGCGCAAATATGTCTTCAGCTTTTCCATTTTTCAACGTTAATTGTTATCATGTGACACGCGATAAATAATGATTGCAAAAGAGGAAGTTATAGTCGTCGTGTCTTCGATTATCGCACGACATTACTGTCATAATACCAAATGTACAGCGATATTACTGTGGTTATTTTTTCGATTCCAGGAAAAGAATAGTTGAATAAACAAACAGGCAATAACAGCAAAATATTTTTTCGCAAATTTAATGGTTTGAGAATAAATCTGAGCAAATATATATTCTTTTTATATAATTTTATATAATTTTTTAGACGTGATATGATCATAAGTTTGCTAAATATTTATTGATAGGCTTCTTTTTCTCTGCTTATTAAGTGCTATCTATATATCCCGTAAATAAAAAATGCTTTACTTATGGAAAGTAATATCTTTTCCCTAGAGTCATGGAAAAATCATCCGTGACGCACTTCTAATGACGAAAAGGCAGGAATCGATATGACGATTGACGTAACTGAGCAAGAAATTACAATAGATCAGTGACGAATTAAAACGTACATTGGCTATCGCCAGCTATGAACTTTATGCACGGTTTACACTGCCGAGCTATGTTTGTCTCCCAGCTGGATATAATGCCCGATGAAATATGTATAAAACCTATTTTGAGTGAACGTGGCCTTTACGCGAGCGGCAACGCGATGTCGCTATTATGTCGAAAACGGAACTTTGCAGTGTTCCGCGAATTTACATAATTGCAGAGGACTTTCAGCGTGGCTAATTGCTTCTCGCGATGTTTCCCCAACGAAAAACTTACGTCAGATTTAGCTTTATTCGAGACAATCACGCAGAAAAATAACTACCGAACTCCCGAGTTTGGTATTAAATGAAAGCAAACGAACTTAAAATTGTTTTCCAAAGAAAAACAGAGAAAATATCGCGAATCGACCATGTCTCTATGTTCTGTTTATAAAATGTTTCTAAGACCCAACGTCAAACTTCGGGCACGTGTCACATTTTTACACTCGGTATGACATTTATAATAATTTATATTGTCCGTTATAGAGCAATTCGAAATCCCTTGGTTTCGCCAAGCTTATAGACGTTAATAAAACAAATCTCGGTGTTACGTCAGCGGGGGTAACACATATACGACGTATATTAAAAGGATGAGCTGCTACTCACCTGACGGAGCCCGAAGTCACCAGGAAGGGCATGGGGGTCGGGCACGGGCTCAAAGGAGAGCTGCTCACCGAGCTGCGGGTGCTGCTCAAAACGGAGTGCGGACATTGCGGCGGACCTGCGTGTGGTCCTCCCGTGCCGCTTCCGCCTTTGCTAGACGTGCGGCCTTTCAGACACGGGATCTTCGGCCATCCGCTTACGTCCTTGCCAGATACCCCTGAAACAACACACGTCCCGCTGGGTTATTTTAGGAACAAGCGCCGAAAACCGATGCACTGATGAGACGACGTCAACAGCGAATCGCTTAACTGGTCTCAAATATTTACATGTTTTAGATTTTTTGAAAAATTTTATATTTTTAATGAGAACATAATTATCTTAATAATACTGAGAAAATTCCTGATAAATTAAGTTCCAAAAGAAATAAAATGACATAACATCGTATTTTTTATTTCATTCAAAACGAAAGAATCCCTTGCGAGGATTTTATTCAAGGTTTATCTACACAGTTGGGAAAAGATATTTAAATATTAGATAATTACAAAAAAGCGTAATAGTTAATTAAGTTGACGCTACACGAAAATATTGATCGCAAAGAATCTATTTGTAGACTGTCATTCGGTGCGTTGGAACACATAGTGCAGATGTATATAAATATAATAAGCAGATTATAATAGAATACGCCTCTCGACAAAATATTCTGAGTCTAAAAGTGTATCGTCGTAAAAAAGTTGTTAGTATTTTTAACTACCTCAACGTCATTATGAACAAAAACTTTTACCTCTTTTTTAACAAGCTTTATTTAGCAATTTCGAAAATGTTGCAACTTTTCCGCTTAACTTTAAGTTGCACGTGCATAAAAACTTTGAGCATAAAATGATAAATATGTACGAACGTACCACGTTAATGATAAATATATAGTAAATAATTCGTTCAAAATTTTTTATTTTAAAATTAAATTAGATATAGAAGATGAAATATTTTATTCTTTTAAATATATATTTAATTAATTTTACTTAGGAAAGAATACCGCTAGTTTAGAAATTCCGATTTTATTAAATTCTTCCATGTAGGAAAAAAAACAACCGATAAAACGAGGAGATTTTATTTGCTACGAAAGTTTGAAGGGACGTAAAAAAAGGCCTCTGGCCCTTGTGTGTCTTTTCTTTGATATTCATCTCAGGAACCATTATGAGAATAATCAGACTGGTATGCGTGCTGCGCGCCTATCATGCGTAATGCGCGGGAGGAGCGCCCCTCCCGTATTGGCAGCGTTATTGCAGCGTCGAGATAATGCGGCGTTTTAGTATGCAAAGGGAGGCTTTCGCGACCTCTTTCGAATCCACCGCGATTTGAATATACACGGCACTGTTGGTGATTTGACGAGGCGATACGCGTAGAACGTCTCTCTCTCTCTCTCTCTCTTTCTCTCTCTCCTGGTCGTTTAGATTTCCGTCGGGAGATAGGAACCAAACACACACATTAGCGGCCGGGGACGATCGCGTCTCCGCTGTATAAACGACAACTAGATCCGCTCTTTCGCTTGACACTAGTTCCTGTAGCGGGCTCTAAATAACGCGCGCGTGTCACCGTTCGATAAACAAAACAAAAATTGCAATCACGTTCCGTACTGCTGAGGCAGGATTATTTTAAATGCAAGTGGATCATCCGATTCTTCTTTTTTGATTATTAGAAAGTCGGATGGAAAGATCTTTAAACACACGAACGATTAAACGTTACATATAACGAAAATACATATAGTTATACAAAAAAACCTGAAATGCTCGAGAGCGCATTTTTGAAATACAGATTTGATTAATATCCCGACGTTAGAGCTTATCGTTAAGAGGAAATGGACTTAATGAAGAAGAATGTGAAATTCAGAACGTAAAGAACGTGAATGCATTCTCGAGATTTTGACCTCTTTTAACGCCGCGCCGCTTGTGTAATTTTACCAAATTTATTAGTGCCCGAAATCCTCTCAGGAATGTCCTCGCCGTGCGGGCATTCCCGGGATCATCGGGTCGCTCGCCAATTAAATTCTCGCTACCTTCCAACGTCAACGTTGGATAATTCAGACAGGGAGGAAGCCCGTGGTGCAATGCGGTGGACAAGTACAAGGATGAAATTTGTAACGCGGTCGGACACTCTAGGCTCGAGAGGGTCTGCAACGGCGGGAGCGCGGGATACTGCCGGTTCTGCAATTCGGTCGTCCAACAATGGAGATCAGTCCGCGCCGACAAAGCCGGCGCGCGGGAGCCCACGTTTTCGTTCCCGGCTTACGTACAGTGAGGCGTACACGTACGAGCGCGAATAAAAATTATGGCTGTTGCCAAACGCACGACTGCACGTTTACGTAACACCGCCCCGCGAGGCGAGAAGAAATCGATGAATAGACGTGCATGGTGCTGTTGTAACGGCTCTTCGTCGATAGTATAAAATGCGGTGAATCATTTTATTACGATCGTAAATATTTCGCATACGGCAAATATCTGTGGTAAGCTTTTACGTAAATATATCTTCAAAATGACGCATTTATTAGATTAATAAAATCACTTATATATGGTAAGCTATTTTTCAATAAATATTATTTGAAATATTTAAAAAAACCTGCTTTTTTCCCCTCGCACATATCTTTTTACGTCTGCAGAGAGTATGACGTATTATCCAGAGAAATTTTTTTTTCTCATAATGAACTGAGTTAGCAAACTATTTAATATCAAAACTCAACAGATTACCGTGAAATTTCGCTTCCTCAAACTCTCTTATAAACGCAAATATCCACTAGTGTAAGGTGAAAGGTTACGGATATTAGTGCTGGAGAGATTAATTTTTCCCTTGCAGGAAATTAAATACAAGATGTTTTAAGGTAACGAAGCGCTTACGTAGGAGTGAGATTAACAAGATTTAAAGAGAATTGTGTACACATGAAGCAGTACCGTAAGATTCAATAAACAAAATTAGCATGCAATTATTTCGAGATAATTGTCAAATAAATATCCAATATTATTCAACGATTCGATAATAACAATTGTTAATTTTGGCGTTATCGAGTTATAATCCAATCCCGTGTACTTAACAATTTCAATTATCCTCTCTCGGGCATTCATTACTTTTATAGCATCTAGACGAAAGCTCTCGAGAGCTAAATTCGATTTATCGGCGAGGCGGGGTGTACGACCATGAATGTTTATGTCGTAGCCTAGTGTCGTACAGTCGTCGCGCAAGAATCGCTTAATCTCGAAGTCAATAGCCGTCACTCCACTACTCCGTCAGAATTTCCCGGGCTTCGTAAAGCCGGACAATAGTAGTATAGAAAAGAATGACGCGGCAGTAGTGGTGGATATTGCGCCAGCGTGCCGTCGGTACAAATCGCGCGAACAATAAGAGGAGACGAAGAAGTCACAATTCCGGAGGCCGAAAGTATCGGGAAACCGTTCGATATTCGTTCCAGGATGAGGTAGCATCGAGTAGAGAGCTTCGCCTCGTGGGAGGACGAGGAGAAGGCGGCGGACGAGCCGGCGAGGCCTGCAAGCGACAGTCCGCCGGGATTTGTTCCTGACCAACAACGTCCAGCATCTCAATAAACTCGCGGCGAACCGCCAATCGATTACCAGCGTCCACGTATCTGCGGATACGTCTCAGACTTTGCAGTCTTTCCTTTTAATCGAAGAAAGAAGAGAAACGACAGGCATTTCAATCTCAATACGTAGCGCAGTAAAAAAAAAAGGTAAAAAGTTTAGCCAAGAAAATGAGGTCTCGACTGCTTATAACGTCGAGATCTCTATTTTATGAAGTGTCGAAAAGGATGAGAGAAAGGAATAGAAAAAAATTCTATATACGGCACTTCAATTACTACTATACGCGTTGTATAGATATTTCATACGCAATTTTAGGAGAGAGCAGAGTAATTTTTCGCTGATAAATTCAGAGTTGACTTTTTCTAATCGGAATCTGATTAATTTGATTTTGAATTATCTGCCTTTTTAGCAAGTTTCGAATTATTAATGCTATGTACGACAGATTTAGCCTGCAGAAATTGTTGAAAAACAAATCGTAATGTAGGTATATATCTCAGTATAAGATATGCATGCAATACCGAAATAACACCGTTTTAATTCTGCTTAACCGACTGACATAGTTGATTGGAATAGGTCGAAGGAAGCCGAAGGTGATGTTTCACGATTCTCGGTCAGCGGCGGTCGGTCAGCGTTTTAATTGGCTGACCGGGGGCATCGCCGAAAAGTGAGGGCGACCCACTTTTGGCAAAGGCCAAGACTAAATCTGCCGGGGTTAGCCCGTCGCTACGTTATGCCGTATTAATCAACGCCTCCCCCTCCCTCCCTCCCAACCCCCCCGTTATCTCTAACCGCGCGAGAGTTAGCGTGCTCCTGCAGCGCGCACGAGAAACGAGCCTGACCTTTCAGCGAAATAAAATATCTCATCAGAATCAGAACCGACGATTGCATGGGACGAGCGATGCGGCGAAACGCCGCGTTTCCTCGTGGAAGATCAATTAAACGCCGTTTAAACGATCGATCTGATAAATCGCAAACAATTTGCGAAATATGCTCGGATCGTCGATGGAATTAATGCAGCCACCCCTCGGAAAGGGCGGTAGGATGGGCGGGAACAACGCTGACCACCAATTCTATTCCCTGTGAAACCAGCTATCGCTGACGCATTTGCAGAAAATGGTGTCGAAAGTTCAGGATCCTGATGGAATCATTGAGAGAGCCTGGCGCAGAGAAAGTTGAAAGTATAATAATTTCGAAAAGGCCATTCGCGTAGATTCAATTTATGAAAATATTTACGAGACGTAAATTATTACGGGAGAGTGTGTGTCTGTTCAGTTTTTATCCTTTCTTCCTTTTACAGATAAACAGAATTATTATTCGCTCAAAAGTTTCCACTCTAAATGTTACTTGGAAAAAGTTATTTTCTTATTATGATTGTTATCGTATTAAAAGAGCCGATAAGCTTCTCTTTTAAGCTTCCCCATGCGCGGATTATCCGGCCTTCATTTACGGATAAAATTCGCTGATGCATTATGGCTTATCATCTAGTACAATAGCCTTATCGTGCAGGTATTACCTTACTAAAGTAATATAATAACGCGAGATATGTGTGTGTATGTGTGTATTGTGTGCGCGCGCGGCAATTTAATTACAACGCTACAATTAATATTCTAATTAACAGAATGTCAGAGCGGCTTAA